TAACAGTTTTTGGCGTAAACCAGTGTTTCCCGATAAATTGGTTGTTTTAATTAACAAGGTAAACTTTGTCCTAGCCATTTAGGTCAATTGTTGGCGTAACCATAAAAGTGCTTATAAATATTATCATGGCGGATCGAAAGGCTCTCGAAAACTTAATAACCCGTGTAATAGCCGCCATCGTTCAGCTGATAGCATATCGCGCTCTCCATAATGTATTGCCTGTCACTCCAGCCCGTGTGACGGCAAGCAACATTTTGGGATATTTTGCTTCTTGTTTAGTAGTTACAACGAAGCGTCCGTCACGGTGAAAAACTGAACTCTAGCAATTTGTTACGCCTGGCTAAGCGAGGATTAAAATCTAGATAATAAATCCAGGCAACAAAGTTCGACGACCACTTCCAGCATCATTTTGGTATTCGAATTACAAAAATCTAAATTTTTGATTTACGAACACGAAATGGCGGCCGTTCCGGTGGCCGGGTAGCGCACAATTAAAACTTAAGCGCACTTAATTACTGAATGCTACATATCTGTAGCTCGCAGTTAAATCAGCTCATTTTACGAGCGATAACATCATTTTCTCGTTGGAAAGCCGAGGCTGGCGTGTCTTCGTCTATCACGGATTTGGGAAAGTAAAGCGTTCATGTTTTCGAACGCATTCTTCGATATTTCCGTTTATTTTAAATATCAACCGCCTTTCACCTCGCTGTATTGATGGTTCAATATAAATAAGCACGTCATTGCCTATTTATTTATTTATTGCCAGCGAAGCGTAAATAACGTTTGAGTTTCTTCCAAATGAAGCCGGTGCCGGGTAACGGCCGCCGCTGATCAACTTCATAATTCTTCAACGCGGATTAACGCTGTTCTATTCATCACAAGAAAAGTATTTGAGCTTCTTTTGCTTTTAATTAGCCAGAGTTATGATGTGAGAAATATTTTTAATTGAAAAATCCATCTTGTGAACAAATATAAATTAAAATAATTAGCGCGTTGTTCACAGAATGTTCCTTGTCAGTTCAACTTCGATAACACGAATAGTTGACATGACATGATGGCATAGCTGTTGTAGACACCTATTTTTAATATGTACTATCCAAAATGTGGCGAGTAATTAATTGAATCGCAGTCGTGCAAACATAATATTTGCATGTTTGTTTGGCTCGATGGGAGTTGTAACGAGGTGTGAACGAGGCGTCATACGAGCCGAGGACGTGCGCGTGCGCCTACACTGGGAATTGAATAATAAACGCGACATAAAACTATTACTGCACTTATATGATGATTGCATCACAGATGATCGTGTATTAATCAAAATAAAAAAATATTGTCACCGATTTTTGTGCTATCTCGAATTTAGTCATCAACAGCCTACCTTTAGTTGGTTTATTTTCATTTCGATTCAACAACTCTAAAATTGGGGGGCGTTAAGTTCTTAAGTTTTTTTAAATTGGGCATGGGGCACACTGAAAACCAGCGCCGTGGCCTTCGTCACCGTGGCCTACCATGGTATATGCTGAGTGGGGTCCCGTTGCAGTGGGCATCTTGTTGGTGAATGGGTGGCACTGCTCAGTTTACTCTTGTTTTTATTTATTTTTTTCTTCCATTATTATGTGCCACTGCCATGTCTATGTAATTGCCTGTATTTGTGTGATGTCCATTGTAATAAATGTATCTTTCTTTCTTTCTAAATTAAGATAGTCTGCGTTTACACGATCTAATACAACCTAACCCAATTCTTCCTGCAGAATAAAAGTTTTTTATGTGATGTTTTAAATAATATCTAGGAGATGCAGAAAAACGTCGAAATTCTTGAAATTCCATCAAGAATGGTTGTAGTGATCGCAAAGGCGGCGAACGTGCGTGTCGCCGGCGGACGTGCGCGGGCGCAGACGCTCCACATAGCGGGTGATTTATCTGCCGTGCACATGAATTCCGCGACCATCTTCACTGCTCAGATATTTTGTGGTTAATACCCTATACCAGCGGTTTGAGAATTGCCATTGTTGGGCTAGATCACTCAAAAGATGTGGTCTTTGACTGAAGTCAAGGTTCTTCGGGGTAGGTTTGAAATTAAGTAATAAAAATTAAAACTTGGCTTACGCGAATTTAGTGTTTCAAACTCAACTGCAACATTGTCCAAAATCAAAAATCTATTGTCTTTAGCATAAAGAGAGACTAATAATTTGATCACTGGGAACTGGCGAAAAGAAAAGATTTTGAACTTGTTTGAAAAGGCTATTCTGGTACATACTTGTACTTTAATATTCTTTCCATGTACTCGTATGTGACTCATTTGGATGTTATGGCTGTTCAAGTATTTCCTAACAGCATAGTTCTGATTCGCGTTCAAGTTCCTCCCAGCGACAGGTGTGCGAGCCAAGGCCAGCACGCGAGGTCGTCGGCCCGCCACCCCGGGCGCGACAGGACCCCGGCGCTCTCTGCTGCAGATTTTATTCTATCATGTCTACTTGCTCTAGGTGTAGATATCTTGTGCTATGGGAATCTGGATGTCAAGGAACAAATGCCCGTTTTCACCATCAATCCCTAATTTTTAAGTGACCCCTATGGTAACAAATAACAAGAATTTTGTTTTCATAGGGGTCACTTAATAATAAGGGAATGATGGTGAAAACGGGCAAAAGACTCCGGAATTATAAAACCATGGACCAAGAATCATGATAAACATAAAACCGCATTGTATTTTGGAAAAATATAAGATGGAACACGTCAGTGTGTTTAAGTAGGTAATCTAATTGAAAGATATTATGATAATTTTCGAAATGTCTAGTCCAATGTTTATCTGAAATTCAATAGATGCATTGTTGATATTGTTGAGATCAGCTCAAGGTATCTTGATAGCTTATCTGAAATACTTTCAAACTCTCGTATCTGTCCGACATCGGCGAAATTTTATCTCGAGATGGAGCAAGCCGAAAACGTCCGAACAAAGATCGCTTTGTCCATTTTGTGATCAAGAACGACAAAAAAGTCGCAATTTCCAAAGAAGAATGATTTGATTGTTAGAAAATAACTGCAGCCAGTAACGCTGCGCTGTGGAATGTTTGCCGTGTAAAATGTCTAATTGAAATGAAGACAATAATGTCTTGTACTTTATTAGATAGTAGCGCAGCACGCTCGATGTCGCGTCCACACAGAATAATTCAAAAACGAAAGTATGAAACTAAATTATACGGAGAGACGTTCGCTTATTAATAATTCATCATTATAAATCCGGAGAGCTGCTTATTATACCGACTTTAGTTAATTGCCACTTTCACGCGGGTGGTAAGGTACCGAATGTTCTGCATTAGATAGGGTTCATTATTTGTTATTGCCACCGAGCACTCATTATGGCGAGCGGGCTCTTTAGAATAATGCGGGAATGTGCACGAGACGGTTTCACCTCTCGTGAGATAGCTCAGATGCCACTGTTTACAAGTCTTGTCCTCTATTGATGTATAATCGTGGTATTCACGACATTACGAATAGATTATAAAGTAAGGTCGGGCCCATCTTTCTTTTTTTGGCTAGATGCATTTGCTATTTTGCCCATGGATGTAGAATGCAGATATGAAATCTGATGGAGCATGGTTGCCCAGGGTTTATTTTGCCCGTTCCTATTAAATTTATTGAGCCCATAAGTTAAAGACAAATACAATTTATAAATACAATAGCCTAAATAACTTTCAAGTATACGAGTATATTCATTGGAAAGGATTCAACAGGATTCATGTTAATGAGCGTAGGATGACGCCGCATTTTGAGGCTCTTCGCTCATATAACGGTGTTCCCGAAACTTCGCTGGAGAAATCAGCAGATGTTTTAGGTACCTGCGATCTGCAAAATATACACTATGCCGGAAGATGTGAGAAAACAATGTTGGATTTTTAAATAAGCAAATATTTTAAGCATAACAAAGCATCTTACTACTACTGTACTACTAACTACTACTATCATAAGCGAATTTTACTTTTTCTTAGATTTTTTCACGTTTCACCTTTACTGGAGGACTAGAAGAAGAATAAGTAGATATTTTTCTTTCGTTTTGAATGGTAGAAAACTATTTTCAGAGTTAACTTCGTCATCTGAAATCAACCCGATGAATTAGAAATATGTATACAGAAGATATTTTATATTTTGTGATAAATTTTCTAGCTATGCCATAAAAATAAGTAATGAAAAACACAAAAGGAATTTTAAGGTAGGTATTTCATCTCCTGATAAAAAAAGATAATCAGAAAATTTCTCGCATTTAAATATCTCAATGACTGACTGACACGATGTAAAGCGCATCATTGACTCGATTTTCCTGGTAGTCCATAGTTTCCTGGTGTACAATAACTTAGGTATAAATATAATGTCCAAGGCATCCAGGAAAACAGGATACTGATTTGCAATTACCTAGTGTAATCGTAAAATGGGTATTGAGGTATGTGTAAATAATTCTACAGCCATCATTATGATGTCAAGTTTTACAGAAAACCGTTGTACATAACAAGATATAAAATTACATAAATAACAAAACTGGACACATTCATTTTTTGAGGGTAGATCCGCGGATAAAAAGGAAGCGTATTCCGACAGTTATCATTTTTATACGGTATAATTTTATATTTACTAATTTTCAGATACAAAAACATATCCTTTGCCGAGACGCCTCACATGTACTACGGGTGTACGTGATTACAAAGATAGCGGTATTTTAAATTATCTGCAACTTTACGCACTCATAGATTCTAATAGGAACGGAGAGCGCTGACCGAGACTATTCTCATTAAACCATCCCCCTAGAAAAACGACTTTCGTTCCGAGCACGTACCTGCATACAATATTGTTTATAAATAATTCATATCATAACAAACCGGCGAGCGCGCTCAAGATCAGGCGAGCGGCGCCCTCGCGCGGAGGGTGAGCCCCATCCCGCGCGCATCGATCCCGGGACCGCGCCCGCCGCCGGCCGGCAACACATTCTTGCAAATATTAAAGCAAAAACTCACCTTTTCACACTTCAGCAAGCTCACACCAAAGAAATGCAGCCGAGTAGATCGCGGGACGAAAGCACAGTTGCACTATGAGTAAAAAACCTAACTCGCGACTGTGATTTGAGTCGGCACAATCATCAATTAACTTGACACTTTTACGAGTGTATCTCGCTGTTGTATGCTCGGACGGGTGCCGGCTGCGGTTGCCCGGAGAGCTGGTGCGAGGATGTGCGAGCGACGCTACCCCCACGACGGTTCGCGGCGGACTGACGCGGCGGGGCGCGGCGCGGCCGAGGGAGCCGGAGGGAGCCGCCGCTAGTGATGGGCCAACTCGGAAAAAACAAAACTCGATTTAACCCGAGTTAAAATCCACATAACTCGGGTTGAACTCGAGTTACGTAACTCGAGTTAACTGGATGGACAAGTAATTTTTTTTTAAATTTTTACTAGTTTATTCCCTCAGCTTCGCATTAATATTTCAAAAAATTGGATCTGCATTTTCCACTATCTGAAATGGCTGCAAATCTTTGACTATCAGATTAATAAAAGCGTTATCACCAGAATTTTGCGATATTTTTTTTACAAAAGACCTTAACCGTTTTTAAGGAGGCTCAACATCCAATGTGGTTGTCGATACCAGTGACTGCGATGAATGTTTGTTATGAATTATTGAATAAACGAACATAGTCTCACTCAAATGATCGGCAAAATTCGCTCTATGTCGGTTCCATTCGGTTCACGAACTCGACTCGAGTTAGAGAGAATTCAACTCGAGTGGGTTCGATTTACGCCCAACTCGAGTTAGCTCGAGTTACTTACTCGAGTTGACCATCACTAGCCGCCGCCAATCAGCGCCCGCTTGCCCGTAACCAATGGCGACCAATTTTTCCTTGCCATTTTGCCCGTGAAAGTTCAAAACGCTCGTCTCGTTTCGTGATGTTGGTGATAATATTTTAATCGCTCGTTTAATTAAGTCATTAACACTGGCGATGGTGAGATACGCGACCGCACTCGACGCGGACGGCAAAAGTACGCGGACTTGTATGATTTGCGAGTGAATCTGCTATTGTTTGAAAATTAAAACTTCAAATAAGAAAACTTCAAATATGAAATTGTACATATGATTTCAATGAACATCAATAATATTTTTATAATCCATTAACCACGAAGTTCTAGAAAGTATCTTAGATAAATAATAATAATAAATAATAAAAAGAATAATGCATGTCTGAATGATCAGATGTTCTTCTTTTTATTTTTGTGGAAAATAACAAACAATGCATATTCAGTCAGTAGCACAGGTTTTACCAATTCATCAGCAATATTTACTACAGTGTCAGTCTTTGCTCGCGCGAGAAAACACATGAGATCCAGTACTGATTGCTGTCCAGCAGCGACAGCGTCCGTCACGCGACCGCACGGTGACATCGACAGTGTTTTATGCCGAAACCAGCAGATTTGATGCACTAATGCCCGTTTTCACCACCAATCCCTAATTTTTAAGTGACCCCTATGGGAACAAATAACAGGAATTTACTTTTAAATTAGGCATTGATAGTGATAACGGGCATAACACTCCTAATTATGTGTCGCCTAATTATTATTGTTGATGCATCAGCATCAGTAGATATTTTGACGCTGTCACACACAACTCACAAGTGTATCAAGACAAGAATACAATTTAGTGATCGAGTCCGGCTTCGCTTGGTTTATTTACTTTTCTAAGCAGAATGTACTTATTATGTTATTATGCTTATTTATTACACCATACAATATAAAAATGAACGTGGTAGATTTTTTTTAATTGCAGTGAGACTTGCGTGCATCTTCAGATTTATAAAGGGACAAATAGATGTTATGACGAATTTGTTATATATTATTTAGAAATAAAGTGACTGTAATATTTTCAAGCAGAAATGCGTTATTCATTTGCTTTTGTTTAGATTGTAAAGATTTATAAGTCAAATTATCAAATAATTTGTTCAACTTTATTTTCACAAAAAATTAGCAGAAAATAAGATATCTGTTTTTATTCAGAAACTTGCTGTTTGTGATTAATTGCTGCTTCAAAGCAGGCACTAAATAATAAAATTTAGTTTAATAAAAATAAATACAAAAATAATTAGTTATACGTTTTGCTTTCTCATAAAAATACAGACACGCTAGAATAAAGCAGACAGCTATAGGACAGCTTCAGTTGTTGCTGATCAGACAATGTTGAATTTTAGCAGATTTTCTATAAATTTTCCTATTTCGCTACCATTAATTAAAAAGACATCAACGCGCTCTTTTCTTAAGTAGTTTTTAAAATACAGAAAAAACCATTGTTTTTTTTAATTATCATTTTTGACGATTATTTCAGGAGTTGCTTTAAACACAGTTTAGATTGGAATAAAATTAGATTGTAGATTCTGAGATCCGAAACTTGAGAATATGAAAGTCATCATTAAACAACTGACGTTTTATGACTAACGAACAAATAGCAAAATGTAAAAATTGACTTGTTTTGAATTGTTTGAATTTAATTTAATGATGTCAATTGAAATGAAATTTAAATATTTTTATTATTATTATAATTATTAACTGTAACCTTAAACCTATGACTATGTGTTGAAATAAATGACTTATTATTATTATTATTTATAAACTAAAAGTGTCACGTAAGTCCACGAAGATCGAAACATTGCATATTCTGCCTATTGTTCGCCTCTCGATTGCACCAAATTTCAATCTCACAACAGACAAAACAACCGGGAGCCAGACGGAATCGACAGTCGACACATACATATTACACGGCCGGCTGCAGCGCGGTGCATGCAAATATCGACAATTACATATAGCCTACACGCTAGAGTTATAGGCACAGTGCCATAGGCATTGCAAGAAAATACGGTAGCCTCTGTTAATAACAAAACGGACCACACAGATTAAGATACAAAACATTGGTAAAAATGTTGCACCGTTACAGCAATTATCTTCTTATTTTTTCCTACATACTTAGTATTAAATAAATAAATAAATAAAAAGTATTTATTTCGGATAACAGGGATCCATAATGTTAGTAAAAACTTAGGCTATGTTAGTATCTTATTTCTAAAACAGACTTCGTCCTGCTGAGCATGTGGCCGATCAGTGGACAATCCCCACTATCGGCTATCTCCTTCAGTACGGTGTGTGTACGCAGTGGTATCCTTCCGTTTGGCCAAATTACTTTTCGCCAAATTTCACTTCGCAAACAACTTATCGCCAAAGTTTCATTTCCCAAATGAACTTTTAGCAACTGTACTTTTCACAACTAATTCATTTGGACAAATTATCATTTGGCCAAATTTTACTTGGCAAATGTTTATATAGCAAATGTTTTATTTTGCCAAATATTATATCCCAAATAATTTGTTTGGTCAAATCGACACTTCACATACTTACCCACAAATCAAACCATAAGGCAGAGGCAGATGATCATGGTTTTCACAAGAATGTTATGTAAAACAAAGATATTGCAGAAAATAGTATGGTTGCAGAAAGTAGGTATTGCAGAAAATAGTAGGTTAGGTTAGGTTAGAACAGTGACCCTTAACGCGCGAAGGCGAGCGAAGCGTGCCGCGGCAGCGGCCGCCGAGCGCTAGAATCACCTCACATTGAGTTATAATGTACTACGTACTAGAGAAGACATGTCAACTAGACTGTTTCTGGCATGTAAATAGGTCCACGGACCGAAATACAATTAGTATGTGCTCAGCGGTTGCTGTGACAACACGCTTGAGTGCAGTTTTGTTTTTTGAAATATGCCATCCTATAGACGAAAATACTGTTCAAATAACTCCAGATACATATTAAGTAAAAATCAAGGAATGACTTTTTACCATTAAGTTGTACATTTATGCACTTTAAAACACTAATTTAATTTTAATTTGTTAATTACAAGGCGTCACCGCGGCGGCAGCCATTTTACGAAAATTTCAAAGAATAAAAATCGCAGACTTGACACTGACGCATAAATTAGTATACGAAAGGAAGGAAGATTTTTTTAAAGATTATAAGCACTTTGTATTGCACAAATTACTAATAGTCCCGTCCAGCCCCTTGTGTTAAGCTAAATAAGCTTGGGTTACGGGTGGGCGGCTCACACAATAGTCGTGCGGCATCATGGATCAAACTTGTTTGAATCTTACTGTTGTTGTTCGTATGAGACTGGTTAGTTAGTAAATCACCCTAATTATTGACACCTAGCTCACGAGATAGGCTAAAATTATAATAATTGTACAGTTNAATTTAAATCGTCTTGCGGAGTAATCCTTCTGTACCTGTACTATTACTTATTCTGTGATGGTACACGAATAGTTCTTTATGTATCCGCCAAATACCGCCAACGTTTGCACAACTAATTCATATCAAACAACATTACAAAAACGGACAAATACCAACAGTAATTAGTCTGACTGAAGCTCGTCGTAAGTCTTTTCAATTAGTTCGACAGGTAAATATATTGTTTGTGAAAACTCGCAAGTGAAAATATCGCACGATACCGAAGCGCTTCTCTCGGCATTCTGACACGACGGGCGCCGGGCGCGACCGCGATCTTTTTCGATTGCTCTAATTGCCAAACGTATCTTACTCTAGTAATTAAACTGACTCGGTGATATTATATTTCAGCTGTTACTTTCTACGATTCGTTATTTCTGATTTCACTGGAATCTTCTTTTGTGTTACAATAGTTTATTGCCAAACCTAAATGGATAAGACCAATAACCGGGCCGGGTAGGCAACTTAAAGGTTAGGACATAGAAATAGAATAACAACCAGCTACAGTTAAAGTCCTACTAGGTGAACGATCTGGTAAAGGTTTCGGGAAGAACCTGGATGCGGGCAGGACCGTTCAATATGAAAGGCTTGGGGGAGGCCTTTGTTCAGCAGTGGACGTCATTTAGCTGAAATGTACGAACGAACGAACAGTTAGTCCCATCCTTTAATGAGCCGAAATCATAGAGAGAGACTAGCGGCCGCCCGCGACTTCGTACGCGTGAATCCCGTTTTTCCCGCTAATTCCCGTTCCCGTGGGAATTCCGGAAATTCCTTTCTTAGTGCACCTCTACGGTACCTAAGCTACGTCCCTTCCAAATTTCAAGTGCCTACGTTTAGCCATTTAGGCTGTGCGTTGATCTGTCAGTCAGTCAGTCAGTTTCTCCTTTTATATACATATTTAGATTGAATGTTGAATGCAAAAGATAGGATAATGGAGTATAGGTTCAGACTTCGTACATACAAGCATCCAGCAGTAAACGATATATT